TGAAACTGAGCCAACTCAGGGAGGTAGTGAAGGACAGGAAGGACTGGCGGGATATGGGTCATGGGGTCACGAAGAGTCGGACATGACTTAACGACTGAACAACAACAACAGAGGTTGAACAATCTTAATTCCACCTGTTGATGCTTCATATCAAGACAAGAATCAGACTGTACCTGTGCTCGATGTATCCTGGAGTTTTAAGTAATTTCTATCTAGCACTTATCTATTCTGAAAATGTATATGGCTGACCATATTAATCAAGTAACGCTGGGAAGCTAACAAGGTATAAAATCAAAAACATACATATAAAACAGTGAAAAGAACAATAAAAGACACCATGTAAAAATTAATCAACTCTTCAACCAACGGTGCATTAACCTCCTGGCTTCAAAGCCTGTGGAATGAGCCAGGTTTTTAAGGCCTTCCGACAGGGCCAGGACCATTGAAACTTTGGGGGGGGGGCTGTCCCACAGGGCAAGCACCATAGCATAGAAGGCACTTAACACAAACATTAAAAGTAAGAGATTTAGGATAAAGGAAGTATGCTAGCTATATAGTTAATATTAGTTAATATATCTAACAATCTCACTTTTAAATGTATTCGTCTTAAATCCTTTCTGTATTCAAGTATCAACATTTGTATTCAATTTCAATTTAATAGATAATAGTGAAATTCTGTCCTTTAGCTATATCTGCTCAACAGAAGACAGCATTACAATAAATCATTACTTTGTTGTTGTTCCAAGTTGCAGTAGTATAATGCCAAAGTTATGGCATCATAATATTACAGTGTGGTAGCATCATAAGGCAGTGTTCACCAACTCTGCGCCTTCCGGAAGTCTTGGTCCACAGGCAAAGAATGATATGTTTTGGGCAAGGCCATCTTGTGAGCATCATATTGAAAAAGGTTAGTAGGACAGATAAAAAAAGCTGGACAAGTATTGGAATACGAGGGAGGAAGAATGTGCTTCGTTCATGTACTCCTCCCACAAGACTTGGCAGTATTTCACCTACCACAAAACTAAGCTAGCATAAATAGCTGATGCAAGACAATACATGCCCAGAGGAGTAAACAGGAAGCCTAAAAACAGCCTCACCTACCCACTGTTATCCCCAGCCACAATAGAGTTTAATTTACAATACAAAGCATGAACGTTTGTGACTAACTGCTATGTAAGAGATTTCAGCTTGGGTTACAAGGCAGTACAAAGTGCCAGATCATATGACAGTGTATTATTTGCTCCATTTTTTTTCAGAAAGAAACTTACTAAAAGTTGCTACTACCAACAAATAAAAGGGAAAGGAACAACACTTATCTTCTCAGAATCCACAGGACATACATACTTCCTATCCAGAACTTCACTGCTACAAAACAGGCTGAAGGGCAGGCAGCAAAGCATGAGGAAGCAGCTTGCTAGAATAGTAAGAACCACAAATCTTATACATAATCCCTTCCCATTTACTCCAAGACCCCAATAGACAGGCATAGCACTTTTATATTCTTTAATTACACTTGATCTTATCCAAAAGAACAAGAAGCCTTTTGTTTTGTTTTAATATTATAGTATTGTGTTGGTATGCTAAATTTAGGTATTTTATATGTCATAGATTTCAGAGTTGTTATTGAAATGGTTGTAATTCTTAATGATGGTTATTTTATACTGGCTTATGACCAAAATGAAAGATATGCATTTATATTCTTTAAATGCATTTAGGAAAAAAAAATAACAATGCTTTGGCATCTAATAAGTAAGCACCTGTCAAAGGAAATAGGGTTAATTAAGATTGTGGTTTGCAGAAAGACATTTTTCCTTACAAAATAAAAAGAAAAATTCAAGTAACAAAAGTCTACATCAAAAACTTTCAAAACAGGTAAACGTAATTGAAAACATAATTAAAAGTATTTTAAAAAATTATAAAGTCACAATGAGAAGAGAGCTTGGTAACACCAAGAGATGTAATCATACACAAACTGTGCCCACCTGGGGAGCCCAGTATTACATTTTTCAGGACCAACTTTTCCCATTATTTGTACTCTGCCTATATCTACCAATGGAAGATAATCTTTTCTGTAACTGAATACATGTACTCTGCATATATTTTACCTAATAAAATGTGAGGTGGCTGTTATGTAAATTTTATCCAAAATCACAGATAATTATCCTTTTCATCGGTTTTAAATAAGTATTATGAATTTAGAAAAAATGCATCAGATATTGAAGTATCAACCTTTGTATTCAATTTCAATTTAATAAATAATGAAATTCTGTCCTTTCACTACATCTGCTTGACAGAAGACAGCATTGTAATAAATCATTTATACTGTTGTTGTTCCAAGTTGCAATATATTGTACAATGCCAAAGTTATATCATAATATTACACAAAATTATTTTATATATTTTACTTAATTTTCCAGGTCCGCACAACACATCATAAGCTAGCTGTATGGACGAGATTTGCACAACTGCTATATTAAAATAGTTTTGACTACTTCATAGTTCAATATATCATGCTTCAAGAATGTGAAGTCTACGAATATGTATTTTTGAATGATACACAGGTAAAAAAAAAAAAGTCATTTCCAAATATAGTCTTGATATGAGAAAGGCAGGCAGCAGCAGAAGAGGAAATTCATTTCTCCCTTTAGTTAAAAAGATAAAGAACCTTACATTAGAATTATTAGCTGGTGACCTAAGTAATGGCGTGAATGGAGCAATTATGGGTGCACGCCACTGAGTTTCCTGTGGACGGAACAGCAATAGCTCAGCCCATCCTAACATTTTTAAGAGCAACGGGAAGAAGTCAATCCAATATATTTGAAAGTATGACAGCACATTAATGATTAGTAGCAATCTGTATAAACTAGGCTAGCCTTAACATGTTGCTGGCTCCATAGCGGAGGAGGCGCTGATTTCCGCGTTCGCCTCTTTTCCAGCAACGCCACGCCATCCGTCTCCAACCGAGAGCGGATTAAGCTCATTGTTTTCCGGCCTTGTTTCAGGAGAATGAGACGCGCACGTACAGAGGAAGGAGAGGAAAACAGCGAAGACCGTACTCTGAATCAGCCATCGCCGATGCTGGCCCAAACGAAGGCAGGGAGCACCACCCAACCCAACTGCGACGCTTCTCGCGTCCACGCCTCTGCTCAAGTATGCTGACAATTAACAAAGGAGGGCGGGGGGAGTACTTCTGGTGAAGCAACAAGTCTCAGAAATACTTCATGGCACGCGGGTAGAGGGAGAGGACGCTCCAGCCATGGAAAGCCCAGACAAAGCTCACAAATAGCTTAAATCCAGCGCTTCAAAGGTTTCCTTCGTACATATCCGTCCTATTTCGAAAGTTCATCAATTGCCACGCCCTTTACTTCTGAATAAACACGGAATACTCCAGCTGGTTCATCAGCTTTGGGATGAAAGAAAAAAGCGAAATAAACCCAGTCCGGCTCTTTCTGGGCGCAGCCCGTTGACTCAGGTCAGAGTGTAATCTCCGGCTTCGTGGCATGACGACCCCTCCTCCATAGGACGGTTCCCACGCACCTTTCTCCCGTTCCCCTCCGTATACCTGACAGCCCCTCACAGAGCGCGCACGCCTCGTCCGCGAGGGAAATCTTCCCGCAGAAACCACGTGGTCGTGAAGAGCGACGGATGCGCTCGCGCCCACCCAGGAGCCCCGGAAAGATCAAAGGGGATACCTGACGGTCGGAGGCGACTCCGCTCTTCGGCGGAGACTTCCTTGCGTGGTCAGACCCCACCCTCGATGGAGATCTCAGTCGGCGTGAGAACGCCCGGGTGTTTGGACAGTTCAAAGTTTTCCCTTCGAGGCGAAAAAGAAGCACCCTCGAGTGGGTCGCTTACGTGGATTCCACGGCGCGCAACTCCGAGCGGCCTTCGCGGAAGAGAGGGAGGTGGCAGGCGGGGGAAGCGCTGCTCCCAACAACAGCCGCAGCAGGTAAGTCCCTCCCTGTGCCTGCTCGAGCGTCAGCAGCCCGCTCTGAGCCATAATCCTCCAGGCGCTGAAAGGAAGGGCGGGGAGCCGGGGCAGTTCTTCAGTTCTCGGCTCCTGGATTCTCCAGGAGGAGTTAAGGCAACCACGTGGCGGAGTCACTCGTATTACACGGGGGAGGAAGGGAAGCGGCGCTCCGTAGCAATCTGGCGGCAGGGCGCGGGATGCACGCGAGGGAAGACGAGCTGGAGTCTGCGGTTGTGCGCCGCCTTGACGCCGCAGTTCACCCCGTGCTCTTGCCGGGACAAAAATCCATTTCGACTTCATGAGGCTGTTGAATAAACAAAGTTCGACCTGTCAGTTTACATCCGTTGTTACAGACACCTCCTTTGCTCGCTGGAGTTCCACCTTCCGGGCCCCTCGCTGTAGAAAGCAGCTTAATTCTCCGAGATTCCGCGCAAATCTTTCCTCGGGTGCCAGGCAACCAGTGGCGCTTCTAATACCCATAAGTACTGTTGCCCCATTTAGTTTGCTGCTTTTGTTCACCAAAAGATGCACTGCTTCAAGAGAGGGAGATTTTTTAAAAAAATGACTAGACCTGCCTTGCTTGAGCCTAGAATGTTCATAACCGTTTATGTGTCTTCACAGAACTCCTAAAATAATCTTTTAAAATCTTCACTATTTCTGCCTTACTACAACAGGTAGCAGCGCTTGCGTGGGTTTGGAAGCTAAGAAAGGTCGGCCTACTCTGGAGCTCAAGGCCGTGGAGATGGCCCTTTGTCCTCCCGTTTTAACAGAGCAACAAGGTATATTGTGAGGTATATTGGTCAAAAGAGTGACTGGTCTAAAATCAAGCACTGAGCTTCCAAGGCTGAGGGTGGACTTTAACCTGAGTCTCCCCGGTTCTAGTACAACACCTTAACCACTACCACTCTGGCTTCTGTGTGTGTGTATGTGTGTGTGAGAGAGAGAGAGTATGTGTATGTGTGTATACATACATACAAACATGTACCTCCTAATTTCTGTAAATTCGGCTTCTGTACTCTGAAAGTCCTACAGAAAGCTTGATTGCATTTTTCTGCTTAGAAACAAAGTCTGTTTTTGAGAAAGGTGAACACCACTCACCTAATCTTTATGAAATGCAATTTTTTAAAAATGCAAGATTCAAGGATACATGCTGACATGTAATTCTTCTCATGTTACATTCATCCACTATATTTTTTAACAAAACCACATTTATTCAATGAACCATGATGCTACTGTACATTTCTCAGACATACTACTTTGAGAACGCTTTGTCTTTAATGTTCAAGTCTCTTGCTGTTAGCAGCAACTATACAATTCCTGAACCTTTTCCCACTTGATAGAGAAAACAGCTTGAAGAAGTTATTTTGGTGGTTAGCAACAGGATTAAACAGCAACTACACACACACACACACATACACACACCCCTCTGGTTCTGTCTCCATTAAATATGTTATTAGAAATTATGCAAAAAGATAAACTAGTGTATAATAATTCCAGAGGAGTACCTTTGATCACCTAAAGGGTTTTCCAAATATGACTTATTTGTCATCAAATAGAAATAATTATTTATTTAAATTTATTGGACATAATATATATCGTATATATCTTTTAAAACTCTTCTCTGAATAGTTACCATTTTGAAAATGGCAAGGAATAAACTACATTTCTGATGATTATTTTGATATTTTAAGCAACAATCCAGCTGTTCAATAGACGTACATCTCAAAACTCTTAACATATTTACTGTACGTGTGGTAGTTAACTAGGACTAAGTCTACCCTCAACCATGGAGTATCACTGGGTGACTTTGAGTTACTCTTAGTCCAATCTTTTCCATATCTTTTCTGTAGCTGTGCCTGCCCTCTGGACACAATACCACCAAAAGTTAGATTGGCCCGATTCTGCTTACCTTCTGTAAAGCCTTGAAGATTTGGTTGTTTCTCAGGCATGGAAGTTGGGAGAGTAATTGAGAGTAACTGTTGGTGTATGGTATAGTTGGAAGCCACTTTGTGTTTTAATTGGTTGTGAAATATATTTTTATATTGTATTTACATTGTATTTTTTAATCTTTGTCAGCCATCCAGAGTTGCATTTGTGAGATGGGCGGCCATGTAAATCAATTTAAATAAATAAACCTATCTACCTCACAGGAATGTTTTTGTGGAGATAAAATGAAAGGAGCTTCCCATATAAACTGTCTTGAACTCCTGGAGGGAAAGCAGGATATAATGATAACAAATAAATAAAAAATAATTAAATATGTCACAATTATTAAAGTTTATGTGATCATCATAGGCATAAACATGAGAGTGTAAATGACGGCAAAGGAGGACTTTTGGTGGAATAGCCCATCTGAAGTAAAGTTGAAAGGATGATTTTTTTTTCCTAAAAAGCTCTTTAGAGTAAATATTGTATACATGATCTTTCATGAATAGACAAAAATTAGAGCAACTCATAAACCAACAAACTAATGTAATTATATCTGTGGACAAGAAGTTAAGATGAACACAAATGTGTCTTGCTAGCAAGTGCACAAGCTGAAGTGCTTTGTGAATACTGAGAATTAATGCTTATTAATGCAGAACTCCTGCAGGGACCATGACCATTCATACTTAAATAAAACTCTGTTCCCTTCTCCAACATTGTTTTGTTTTAATGAGTTTAACTTCAGCACTGTCCCATCATACAAACTCAATTAGATTCACAGAACAAATGGCTATTCCTTGTGACTGTGAGTACAGTCCAAGATAAAAAATGTAATATCTAAAGAGAGGTCAAAGTTAGTTCCAGCTGAGGATAGTGTTAAATCATTTCCAACACATCAGATCCAATTCCCATGCAGATACGCAGACACCTATTTTACACTTTTGAGACCTGGAGAAGTTCAAATTTGGCATCACTTTGACCAATTTAATATCAGCTCATCTGCAGACAGCTCCTCTGACTGCTTTGGCTGTAACTGTTCCATCCTATATCAATTATACAGTCACACAAGCAACAACGTAAATCATACTTGATTGAATACTTGTACTGTTGTAAATGTTATCGCTACATACCATAGGATTATAATTTTAATTTTATAATTTTGGATTTCTTACCTCTTATTTTTTTTTACAGTTTAAATTACTTTCCAGCAGAATAGCTGACTTGTTCTATCACACCAATATCAAAACTTTTGAGGATTTGTAATTCAGCAAGTTGAATGTATACAGGTAGTTATCACTTAATGACCCTAATTGGGACTAGAATTTCCATCTCTAAGCAAAGTAGTTGTTAGGCAAAACATCACACTGCTTAGCAATGGCTGTTCCGGTAGTCCTGGTTGTGGTCATTAGGTGAAGACTGCATCTCATTAGGTGAGTACTGAGGCTTCTGCCCTGCCTGAACTGCTAGCTCCACCCCGCTGCCTCTTCCCTGGCCGGGTCCTGCGAGCTCCCTTCAGCAGACAAGGCTCCGCTGCACTGCCGCACCCACTGCACACATCCTGGGTCTGTGCCCTCGCCCAGCACCTGATTCCCAGGCCAGTAGCAGGAGAAAGAAGCTGGCAAAGGTCAGTGGGGGTGGCAAGGGTAGGTGGCAGAGTGCAGGGCAGACAAAAGGGCAGAAATGGGAGGGAGATAGGCAGGTTGGAGCTGAAGTGCACACTGCAGTTATAAATGTGGGCCAGTTGCCAAGTGCCTGAATTTTGATCACATGACCCCGGGGGCGCTGCAACAGAATTTGATATCAGAAACTGAAAGTTAGATGGCACCATACAATATTAAAAAACACATAGCTCACAATAGTACTGAAACATTAATGTGTACTTGCTTTGTTCTAGTTTAATAAATTTAATAAACAATACAGCTCTAGTATGCTAAGTGCTTTCCATCTGTTACAGAGGAAAGGTAAGTGCCTGCAATACTTTATGCAAAGAAACCAAAATGGAACTCTTGTCTTCTCAACTCATAGGCTTCCATAGACCAATAGCAAGTTCCTTTTTTATAAGGAGGATTTGCTGAATGTTAATTACAATACATTTAAAGTGGTTGCCATTAGGAATAAAGGAACCATCTGCACCTAATGCGTAGATTGTCATATTATTGAACAAATAAAATCATATACTCTGGGGAAATTATTACCTAACATTGAGAAAGTATCACCTTAACGAATTGAATGTCAGTAGTAGTTCTGAAATTTTGCCATATAAATTGAGATGTCTAAGTTATTTCAATTTAAAAAATATTATAGCCCAGGTTTGTTGCCAGAGGAAATCATTAAGCATATATTTTTTAAAAGTCAGTCCAATATGATTAAATCAGCTATAGGAACAAGATAGGATAAATTATTCAGCTATGTTTTCTCACAGTAAATACTTGCATAGATCCAAGAAGTCTGATGCTCTGTATGTGTGTGTGTGTGTGTGTGTGAGAGCACACGTAGGTGCAGAATGTTCTCTTGATCATCATTAATAGCTGACCTCTGGTTTTAGTATGTTTATATATAAGCATATTTGCGCAGGTAACTCAGAACTAAGATTTCAGTTAGTACCACACACATGCACATATACAGCTGTGACCATAATACTATATAGCATATTGATGGCAATCTTTATTTTGTAAATAAAACTGAAATGTTTTCTCTGAACTCTACTTTGGTTTTTTTTCTGTACGTTTACTGTATAAGGGTTCTGGCAAGTAGATTGATTTCTCAGGGTCCAGTACTAAGGTTTTCATGGAACTCTCCTCTACTGCCCTGACTCTCTAAATCCGGATTTCACCTGAACACAGATACGGGGCCTTCAGGGCTGAGAAGATTTGAGTCCACTGTGTCTAGAGCCAAAAGGCAGAGAGAGAGAGTACTAGACTTTGAAAGAACATCTTGGGAGTAGTGGTCTACTTGAAAACACTTGCAGTAATACTACTGAATAGCTCAGTTTCTGCAGACAGCTCTGATTGTCTCTAATCTTAAGTAACCTTCATTAGTTAGCCATATCTTTTATTTATTTTTTCAGGACTCAAAGCATCGTAGAATTCAGAATATATTACAGAAAGGAATCAATGTAAGAGTTGGATAAATTGTTTTTACTGTTATCATTCTGCCACTCTCTGGCCTTAGTTGGAACTACAGTGTTTTCTGCTAAAAGACATTTGATGCTATTATGACTTCTTCCCATAGGGCCTGGATAAATATATGCCATAGAATACAAGATGATGATGATGATGATGATGGTGATATCAGTATAGGCTTTATATTTTTAGGCTGCTACAATAGCAACATTGCTTTTTGGCTGTTATCTGTAAATCAGTTTGAAACTTAGTTGATGTCAGAATTTTGCTATTAAAGTGTTGGATAGTTTGGGACTAATAAAGTTTCTCTATTCTAACAGCTATAAAAAGAACAGAGAAGTTGAAACAGGCTGAACATTAATTCCTTACCTATAACAAAATCTTAAGCTTTGAATTTATAGTCTTGAGAAGAATTATCCTACCAGTATATATGAAGAAGGATATCTGAAGAAGATAGAGGAGAAGCTTTCTTCAAACCTTGCTGGATTCAGTCAGAATTTTTTTACCCTTATTTCTTTTCCTGACACCCTACTTATAATTTTATGAATATTGAACTAAAATGGTATCAGTATCGAACAAGACCAAATATATTACAGTTCCAACATATAAAGGATGAAACTCAACCCTTGCTGCGCATTTTCTGAAACACACTCAAAAATAATCTTAAGAACATGCAGCGTTAATAATACATAAAACTCCAGCTCATTGATTTGCTAAAATGGGATATTACTAGTTCAGAATAATTGCAAGTTTCTCATATCGATTTTAGTACAACTTTGCCATTGCAAATAAAAGTTGACTAGATTTAGAAAAGCTGAAACCTTTTTTTTAATTACACTGTCATGAATTTTCAGAATTGATCAGGCAAAAATACAGTATACAAAGGCCTTTTTGCCACAACAAACTTTCCTCTTAGCAAGGAGAGAAAGATTTAAGTTGCTTTGAAAGACTGACTTTTCTGGTCAAATAACTAAGAAAGTGCAATTCAGCTAATACATAAATATAGACTGAGGGTCCCCCATTCCACCCTTCCATTTTGCATCCTTTCCATTCCTAACTTCAATTTCCTGGCCAATTTTTCATCACCTAATTGATACACCATTCAAAGATTATCTATCTCCCAGCCAGCAATAGTAATACCTCAGTAAAGGGACAAAATGCCTATTCTAAAATGTAGTGGTTACTAAATTCCCCAAAGAGTTAATTGAGGACTCTAATTAAAACCTGGCTGGCCACTTCTCAGTTCTAATAAAACTTGGAACATCTTTGTATCCTCTTTTTTTCCCAGATATATCCACTAAGTAGGCAGATTCCAGACTGCATCCTCTTCCTTGCATAGCAACTTCTATACCAAGATCACCTTTTCCTGATTACTTACTGCCCGTCCCATCAGGTCTGGTAGAAGGGTATGTTGTGGGTCCCGTCTGTTAAGGAGATACATCTGGTGGGATCCAGGAGACAGGCCTTTTCTGCTGTGGCATCCACCCTGTGGTACATCATTCCCCTTGAGGCAAGTTTGGCCCCATCCTTAAACCACTTTTATGTATTTTTTTCTTCTTTTTGTAATTAAATAAATAGGATTAGATTGTCCCAACAAGCCATTTACAGTGGGAGAAAGGAGGAAGTCTTGTTATTTCCTAGTTTTTCCCCCAGACTTGCTAGTTTCCTTCTCATTTCTCTGCTAAGAATTGCTAGTCTTCAACTTATAGCTTATAGACTAGTTTTCCATCTCAGCAACTATAGTTAAATTCACTGGTCCCCATCTGCAGAAAGCAGATGCAAAAAGGACAAGATGCTTCTATGTTTTCCCTTCTGTATCAGCAAACATGGTCAAGATCAGCGTGAATGATAGGAAGGAAGAAGGAAAAATGTATGTGATATGTATGATATGTGTATGGTATACAATGTTGTAGTGTATATGTATGGTTCTTAGCCTCCTAAACTGGTTGTCATGGCTGAAAGTTCTCAGTCCTGATCCTCCTGATTTGTTAACAAAAATCACTTTAAATAAATAAAAAAACCCTTTAATTAAAAAAACTTTAGAATCAAAAAGTGGATGTAATAGGTTGTTGTATATTATATCTCATTTAAACTAGTAGCATAAGCATAACAAGTAACTATAAACCCTGGGATAGGAAATGAAGTGGTCAGAGCAGTGTGGAAGCGGGCAGCCTTAAAATAAATAAAATTAATAGATGGAAAACTTGATAGGAAAGACATAAGAAAGACATGAGTTGAAGGAGAATGATAGATCTCTAGCTAAAGACTTTTACACACTAAGAGAAAAAGCCATGGCTAAATTGCTAGGTATTTGTACATCATAGAAATTCTGGTTTCTCAAGCCATGAGCAATATGCTGGTATATATAGTCTGACTGCACCCAATGGCTCCCCCCATAGTTAGATACAGCTAAGAAATTTCATACATTTCTGTCTGTAGTTTCTTTAACTTTGTTATTCAAACCATGGACTCAAGGAATAAGCTCTGGTTTCTTCATGGCATTTTTCTGGGATATCGTAGGTTTATAAAGAAACAGATATATTAAGCTATATCAGTTTTATGAAACAAGACTCTAAAAACTCAAAATTCCTAGGATCAAAAAATGTGCAAATAGCATTTAGATTAGTTCCTCCATAGGGAACCAGTTTAACCAAATGGATTGATTTAAATGGGTAGCTCGAGTGATTTGAATCTATTTATCGAATACATGAAGCCATAATGTTGCTTCTTTGGGTTGTAGCATACCATGTTGTATGAACTCAGTCACTGTTAATTCTAATAATATTATTCATAAGGTGAAAATTCAGGGTTTTTTCCCTGCTACATTCCCACCTTTCCATACTGAATTAAAATTCTGAAATTTGAAATCCCAACACATTTCTGGAGTGCAAAATTGGAAAAGTCTGATATAAGTTTATTCAGCCTTAAGGTTTGCAAATATGATCTATGGCCACTTACATGTTCTGCATACTGATATGAACAGTTTCTCCCTCCCCTTCAGTTAAAACTCTTTCGAAAGTATAGATAAAAATATTTTTTCTGAACTCCAACTCTCAGCTCTAGTCCATTCTAAGCATGTATATATGCATGTGGGCTTAAGAAATGCACATTCTATTTTAATTTTACTCCTACCTACTCTTCCTGATTCTAGAGTTAAGGGCTTACAGGTATTGGTTGCAATTTTTCCTTTCTCTCTCTCTGTCAGATAAATTGGCAACTAGCCTTCATCTAGCTGGTGATCCTTTGACTAGCAAAACTTTTGGTCGTCTTTCCATCATCTTCAACCCCACTGAGGGTCCTCTGCAATGAACAGATCAGGTCTCACACCATTCCTTTTCTTCTTCCTCAAACTGCACCCTAGAATGCTTTGTTGATTTTGGACCGCTCACAAATTAATACGTTCAGCTGTGCAAACACTGCCTAATCCATTCTTGCTATAGAATGAAACTAAAAGTCCATCTTTAACAGCCACTGGAGCTCACTACATTCATGTTAGCCATTTTAGCCAAGCCAAAGCTTTCCAAACTTTTCTTCCCACATTTCTCCTGTGAAATTCTTCCTCCTCAACCACTCCATATCTTACTATCCTTTGAGAATGATTTCCTATCAGAATCTAAACTAATACATAGTCTGAGTTTCTTTCAGCAAAGCAAATATGAACTGTTTTGTTTGGGTGTCTGCATGAATACATGAAGGCTCAGTGAGAAGCTATGGGATAAGAGTAGGGTGTACGGGCAACAGGCAGCTTTGGGGCTTCAGGATGCCCAATCTGATTTAGCATAACGTGTGAACCAAATTACCAATGTTTGTTATTTTATGAAATCCTTTGTTATGAACCCAACCTTGTACATCTGGATGGAGTTGTTTGAGAGAATTGTGTTTTACAAGTAACCCCACATTCATGGTCAAATGTATGCTATTTAATAGAGCAACTGAATTCTCCTTGGAACACAAAGATATTGATTGTTAACATACATGAAATCTACATTAAGACTGCATGCCAGATCAAATCAAGACTGAGACTTCTATTATTCCATGACACTGACTATTGAGCTGATTTATGTTTGGTTCAGTTGCAATATTAATCATTTCTTTGAAACACTGTGGATCAGTGCAACTTGGGGGTATTTGGTTTTCCATTTATAGGAGTGCTCGCTTCTCTTGATTTCCTGGTTCCTAAGCTTCCCAGCTCTATACTGTCTTTTAAGGGGAATGGTGGTTTGATGCTCTCCCTCATACCAGTTTGGCTTTTTTTTTTTTTTTGCATATGACATGACAAATTTTTCACAACACAAAGTAAGAACATAGATGGGCAAGGAAAAATAATTTGATTCCCTTATGCATAGAGTGCAGGGTGAAATAATTGTTACTCTAGGAGCTGAGACATGTTGGGATGGGGCACTAATCCTGTGTTTCTTATTTTCAGTGTTGCAAGATTAGCAGAAAAGAAGATGGATAGCCTTCAAATTGCTTTGGGGTACTAAGGAACAGAAACAGTGGCTGGATACAAATAAAATAGACAACTGTTTTAAAAACCTCTTCCTGTCACATTCAGTGGGAGAGAATTCTTTTACCTAAGCATGTCATGACATAGTGTATTATTTAAACCAGGTCATTGTGTATTCATTCTCTGTGCTGACATATTCCACCAACACCGTTACCCCTTTCAGTTATTCTTCTGCATATCTTTGCAACAGTATGTGAACTTGTTTAGTCACAGGAGGAAGATACCAGGTGTTCAGCTAGTATGGAGGCCTTCTGGTAAATCCTGTTTTCCCTAAAGCAAATCTCTATGCAGGATTATACCCTGAAGCATTCTTTTGTATTATATGGACCTGTTTGGGCTTGTTGTATGCAGTCAGTTTTTTTCCCCCTTTGAACTCTTGTTTCTAAAAAAAGTAACCTTTCTGTAATTCCAGATTCTTGGAATATTTGTACTGACTAGGTTTAACTTTAGGTTTCTTAGTATTACTTTTGGAATGTAGACAAAACCTGTCTACATATTTGTTTTACCTATCATAGTTTCTTGGGTTTGACAACTTATATAAAGCTGTGTACTGTGCAATAATGGGACTAATCTGATGCGTTTCCTGTGCTTTTTCTAATTTGCTTTATATGCTACTTGGTACAGATGAATAAATCTGTTGCCTGTTTACAGTGTTCAATAAAGGGGGTATGGTATATTGGTTAACATATTGGACTAGGGCTGGGGAGTCCACATTCAGCCATTGTGACTTTGGGTCAGTTATGCTCTCTCTCAGCCCAATCTATCTCATAAAGTTGCTATTATAAGGATAACCTGGAGGAAGGAGTGCTATGTTCACTATCTTGAGATCCTGATAAAAGACAGGATATAAATTCAATCAATCAATATTTGCTACCAAAACAGCAAAGATAGAAATTACATATTGCATTGTCTTGCCAGTGTCCATACATTGCATTAAGCCAATGGCTTTAAACAATGGTTTGTTGAATAAGGCACACTTGGCTGGATTCACACAACATAAGGGATAATTTGTTTAGCTACAGTGCATTAAATAATTGGTTGTATGTGTTCATAAAACATATCAATTGCTTTTATTCACTATAGTTAAATTGAGAGATTAAGACAATGTGTGATGCAACTAATCTCAGTCTCTTGTGATGCTTTCTTAAGGCTACCAGGGTGTTTTCTTCTGTGTGAATGTTAGTTGTGTTCTAGAAGCAAGTGTGTATGTAAGCCCCATTCCCAACATTCTTTTACTTAGCTTCCTAATAGATTTTCATGTGTTTAACATAAAAATCTCTCTTAGGAGCATGAAACCTAATGTTCTTCCAGAGCTTTTTTCAAATACAGATATATTTGTGATCTGTAGGATAGAAGGTGTGGGGAATGTATTAACATTCTCATGCTGCTTATCTGAGCAGAAGCAAACATCAGTATACAATTCTTATTATAAATGAAGATGTGGGAAATACTCTTTTGGTAACATTGTGGTTTGCATGACATGCAAGAATTAGCCTGATGGAAATTATATATTAGTCCATCATCCAGTGTTTCAGTGGCAACAGGTGATTATGCATACCAAGGTTTCCCTCAGTTTATAAGGCAGTAGCCATCTTGATCAGTATTCCAGGCACCATTGTTTGCAACTTTTTTTCCTAACTGTTTGAAAGAAAAAAAAAATCTGCCGTGGTCAGGTCAAAGGTTGGAGTCACAATAGACAGGTTTTATATTACCCTCCCTTTGGAAAGAGTGGATATACCATTTCTGAATATTTTTTTTGCATTACACAAATACTAAGTCTATTTGGTTTGTGCTTAGTACTGTGAAGCCAGCCAGTTGTGGTTTACTCACCAAAGTAAGTAAAGCTAAGCAAATTATAGATTAGTACATGCATCAGCTCATTTACAAACACCTAGATCTGGGGTCTACAAACATGCTTGTTTCCCTAAAAATCTGAGATATAGGAACAATGTTTGTTGAAAATGCCAGTAAGACACAAATAACTTTCTACTAACCAAAACCAAGTCAGGATAATTGATATGCCCTTGCAGTTCAGAGTCCTTGGAAAAGTGAGGTGCATGTAACTCTATTAATGCCTAAATACAAAATTACTGTGCACGAAAGAGCAGCATTAATTACAAAGCACAGAATCATAATTATATTATAATTAGACCATCTTTCATATGACTGGCTATAAACCTTTGCTATAAACTGGCTATAAACCATTAATAGCTAACTTTGGTTGTCAGAAGATAATTTACTTTTTAAATCGTGCACAACATAGTTCAGAATCTTTTTGGCCTTTCCTTTTATTAGGAAAAGTATGGTTTGAATGATACCACTATACCCAGTTTTCTTATTTTGTAGAACATGGTAGTAACTTACTACATTAGTTTCCTCTTCCCTGGTAATCTCTGTATATTAGAACTGAAGGTTCCACTACTGCTGATGGATGGCCATGCTGGCTAGAATGATGTATGCTTACCCCTCACTTGTACGTTTATCTTTACTTGCAGTCTCTTTATGAAAACTTTAGAACCTGACCCATCATTTTACCATTTGTAGAACTGCATATTGCTTTTTGACTCGTGATAAACTACAGTATTCTTTGATTTTGCTGTGGAGAAATATTCTATACTATAAAGGATAATATGAGGACAAGCCATGAAAAAAAGCCAAAAAATATTTTTAATAATCAGTATTTTTAGACACAGTGGGTAATTTGACCCTTGCATTCAAGTATCTTTTACAAAAAATGATAATGATGCTGGCCTCAATTCTCCACCTTTTGAGAGCTAAACCAGTATGCCTGCCCCCTGCAACACTGTTTTAGGTGTTATATGCGTTGATATAACATGGAATTTCAAAATGCATTGGGCTGAGCTGGGGTAGCAAAACATTATCACGGATAATTGTGAAATATCTTTTTTCAATTTTAGAACTCTCAGGTTACAGAGCACAGTCCTTGAATCGGGAGGAAGATATCACAGGCGGGTGAATCAAATCCTTACAGGGCATTCAGTGCCCTGGCGAGCAATCTAATGACCCCTAAATCTTTTGGATTCTTCTACTGTCTTTTGCCACTGGCCATCACATCCATGGGGTACCAAGTTAGGGAAGATCGGTTTAATGCAAAAATATCCAACACAGCAGGTTTGAGCCACGAGGTTTTCGTTTTTGAATAACAGCATAGCTCCCTGTCTGCCTTATCTCCGTTCAATCGTGCAATGCAAAACGCAACAGTCAACACTGGTTTCTCAACTAAATCTGTATTGCTGCTTGTTCCATTTTGCGTTGCAAAATCCCGAAAGTGTGAGAAAATGCTCCTGGCAGAACTCCAGCGGAAGAAAAAGCAAGCCCCGGAGTCCAAGGAACGGACTTGGACTTACTGAAAGCACCCCTCGCTTCCTCTCCTTCTAGAGTCAAGTGTCCGTTTGTACTCCGCCCTTTCGCTTCCCACCACAGTCGGAGGTCGCTCTCCGCTCTCCCCTCGCATTCCTGAGCTTCGACTGCTGCTTACTGCTCCAGATACCTCCCCCTTCTCCTTTTGTTTTACTCTAGGCAAGAGTCTCGCTTCCTGTTGATACCGGAATATTGTGAATGGGCTGGGAAGCGCCACCTTCGCCCACTTCCCTCTTTATCTGCCCTCCGTAGCTGCATTCGTCCCTCGCTTTCCTGGGCGATTCCTGCAGCCGTTTGGCCGGAACCGAAAAGGCCCGGGCTGCAGCTTCGCGAGAGGGAGGGGAAGGAGGGGAAGCGCGCGGGGGGGGGGGGAGCGTCGGAACTGGGACTCCCGCCCCCTCCGGCGGG